ACTCTCAGAAAGGATTTCTGTTACCGAGACAAAAAATATTCTTGACGCATTTATATTTCTCACAACCTCATTTAGTATAAAAATAAGACAATATCAAAATAAAATCAATAATTCTTATTCTCCTCTATCGAATTAAAAAAGATTGACTTACTATATTGAGACAAGAGTAAACTTATATAAATGTGAGTTTATATATTCTTGCGTTTAGAAGAAATTTTCCCTCCATCTTACAACGCATGAAGTTGGCACCACGATATTCGACAAAGGACGATTCTAGATTTGAGAATTTTTCAATTAAGATTAAAATATTCCTTTCTGATCTATAATAAATACGATTGGCGCTATATCGATCCTATTTTTATGATACATTCGAGTGTAATAGCATTGGGTCCGGAAATTTGTTCTGTCGGTGTAGGGTTGTTATTTTAATTTTCATTCCGCCCGAAGAAGTTCCGACTTAACTTTTCAGCAACTCGTTGTAAAGCGTTACGATGTTTATCGTGCTTCTCGCTACGAATTATGCGAGCGGGGTTCGAATTGAGAAATGAAACGCTTACGGTGCTTGCCATTTCCAATAGCATTTGTGATATTACATCAGAGCCGATCATGCGGAGCAAGTAAAACTCGTGCGCAGTCCAATGCATTGTTCGCGAAACTGATATTGCGAATACTGATATCACGAACGAAAGGCAACTTCTCGCACCCAGTAACATCGTACTATCACCGGTTTCATAACCGGGCGTGAGGGGGGCCCAGCATTTTTACAAGTCGCTTTTATATAACGACACGGTGCAGGGAACTTTTCCGCAACCGCGATTTTGCGGTTTTGTGGGGAAATATTTTACCGTTAACGTTGCGAACTGCGCACTCGCGTATCTCGTATGCGGGTTACATTGTGTATTAATTAAGACGTTAAATAATTAAACTTAATTCTAAAGCGCGTGCAAAAGATACAGAAACGTTTTCCAGGCTTCCTCTCGCAACGATGTTTCCTTAAAACTTTGCTACGAATTTCGCGAGTATCATCACAGTTAATTGCTCCACATTCTGCATCTCTTATATTTTCTTTTAACTTTCCTCAAGGCACCGAACTTGCACCTCGCTAAACAACAGGCGCGACGAATCGATTGAATCGCGAACTTTTGACACAGTTTAATAAACCCATATCCTGCAATTACACGCGGGCGTGTATCCGTATCGGTTTAACTCGCCTTAATTAGATAATCGCTGCTCGGGCGTGAATCGCGCCGCGGAAGTGATTGAAAATAAAATTCGAGATAGCATCTCGTTCACCAGCCGCCGCGTAATGCGTGTTTGTGTCTAAACACGGTTCCCATGTGTGTGCACCGGGTCGCGTGAGAAAATCGGTCGACTCTCACGGACGTCGTTCGAGTATCCACTGTTACCTAATGTTCAGATTGTTGCGCCCGCGCTCTAATCGTTCGGCGTCTTTACTCAGAGTGCGTCAATTAGAAACACCCTGTGATCAGAGACTGGCCATAAGAGTTCGTCAAATTCCTGCGAGTGAGAGACATAGGCTATCTCACTCTTCTACGGTTCTACGATCGTAGAAGAGTGAGATAGACCGTGTTTCTCTCTCACTCGCGGGAATTTGACGAACTCTTATGGCCAGTCTCTGCTTACAGGGTCTCTAGAAACACCTGCAGTAAATACGAGCAGGATCAACGCGCGCGCGCGCGACAGGATCAGCTGGCAAGTGGAAGAGGCCACGTGTTGATTTAGGCGGGTTTCGGCCTTTAGTCCTGCGCGACCTTTGCGGCGAAAAGCAACCCGTAATCCAGGCGCTCTCTCGCTCTCGCCCATCCTGGTTGCACAGGCGCGATCCTTCGCGCCGGAGCGTGTGCCGGGCGTAGCATTTGAGCGAACGGAGCGGAGGCGTAGACACATCGGAGGTGCCTCGTTGTGGGCCGCGCGCTGCAGCCGAGCGCGGAGGTGCATCGCGCGCGGCGGGGAACGCGATTAAATAGACGGAGGCTTGCCTATTTAAATAATTTACTCACCCGGGTGACCCGGGTCGCTTGGATGGATGCGGACTCACGCTTGTGCACGACAGCCGCGGTCAAGCGTGTAGCTTGTACGCACGGTTTCCGTCGTCGACACCGTCGTTAATATCATCGCGCGTTATGTAATTAGGAGAAGACGAAGCGTCGAGGATATCTTTATTCCTCTTCGACCACGCGGACCGACGAACCTTTCCTATCTTTTGAGAAAAGGCATTTCAACAGAAACCGTTGCAGAAAATGCCTCTATACATTGGATAGCAAGATTTGATACTCCATTACGAATGACAGCTGACCAATGCGGGCATGGTGGAACGTCTTCATCGACAAATCAAGACAGCAATTGAAAGCCATGAAACCGAAGCATGAAATGAAGTATTACCTACAGTAATGTTGGTAATTCGAACAGCTTTTAAGGAAGATCTCCAAGTAACTCCTTCAGAAATGGTTTATGAAGAAACATCAAACCTCCTCTTCTCAAGGAAGTCACTGCTGCGTATGAAAATTTCCACTCAAAAGCATTTTTCATCTGAAAGTCAATCTGTGCATCATCACTAAAAACAGTTACAAGTATAGAGCTGAATAATTCAGCTAAATATTCACTATCTTCAGTGATAATCCACTGATTTACTTTTAGAGAGTAGCGATGACGTTTTTCAAGTTTCGTTTTCAAATTCATTTTGCGCAGCACGCGAGCGAATCTCGGTTCGGATCGCGTCTCTCTGTCTCAGCTCCGAGACGGAAGTGATGCGATCGTTAATGCAGTTCGTTTCGCAATGAGGAATCACGGTAATCCCCGTCCTTTCGGACTGGTAAAAATTCATTGATGGCACGAGGGAGCGGATTGTTTCGTCAGCGGCGGAGAAAGACGCCGCCCACTATTATTTACTGAATAGTTTCAGCAATCTTGCTTTCGTAATGCCGAGGCTTTATTTCATTACAGAAAATATTGTCTTTAAATACATAGGAAGCGCACGAAATGTAGATATCGGTAGTACAGACGCTACAGTTCGCACTCACGCTGTCGATTTCCTGTTAAAGATAATAGTCGCGTGACTAACGCGAGAGATCGACTATCATAATTAATGTCCAGTGTTACTCTTTGCTTTATTTGACGTCGTGCGATTGACCGTTTCCTATTATATGATCAATAATTATTCTTCAACACATCACACATCGTTATAATCGGTAAAATTTCTCTTAGAGCAATTTGATAAACGGGATCAAATTCAGCGTCAGAGAATGTGTTCGTAAACAAATGAACGAAAAGATCCGTGTTCAAATCCACGGACACCGCTGGTTTTTTTTTCGGAATTTCCCGAAGGCAACCACCGAGAATGTCCTGCCACACATACCCCTTTAGGGGTATAGTAGGGTGGAGCGATTTTGTGTAGAGAAAAGAAAATTTTTTTTATTTTACAACGCCCGTAGGTGGAAGCGATGCGAATTTGTTTAAAAATAAAAATTTGAAAAGTTTTGACTCGATCGGAGCTTATCTTCTGCCTCGAACTTCAGTTTGAAAATTTGATTATAGGAGTAGGTCATTTTGTGTTTACGTGGACGTGCTCTTATACATATATTTCAATTGGTTTAATTTTTTAATATACTAGAATATAACACTTTAAACTGTTGATGAAAATAGAATTAAAAATTTCTTGAAATTTTTAATTGCGTCTTTTTAATTTTTATGATTTTACTCCTATAATCAAATTTTCAAACTAAAGTTGGAGGCAGAAGATGAGCTCCGATCGAGTCAAAACTTTTCAAATTTTTATTTTTAAACAAATTCGCATCGCTTCCACCTACGGGCGTTGTAAAATTAAAAATTTTTTTTGAATGCTCCACCCTAGGGTATAGCCCTCCAGATTGAAGGTTTTTTTCGGCAAAGTTAGCAGCCTACCGAAGATAAAGTAAAACCAAATGCTCAAAGTACCAGAACGAGCTGGATAAAACAGGCTTTAAGCTTAATACTCGAGGAAGAAGAAGAAGTATTATATTATAGATTGTTTGAAGGGCCGGGTTTATATCTCTTTTATATACTCGAAACAATAGTCATCATGTGTGTCATTAGAAAGAATCGTTATCTAATTCCTATCCGATAGAAATATGACGAGTTTGAGTGTTCTTATTGTCACTAGTGGTAAAATTAAACAAAAGTGCAAAGCTTGTAGTCAACCAGACTGGCAGGGTTTCAATAATTTACTTACAACGTATCGACCTAGTTGATAAGGACCTGGAATTGGGTCAAAACGTCATAAATAAATTATTGAAACTCTGCTAGTCTGGTTGACTCCAAGCTTTGCATTTTTGTGTGAGAAATGTGACGATTGGAAAATTTCTGTTGGTACGGCAATCTTAATTTTTGCACGACTTTGTAGACACAGGCCCATATTCTGAATCCTCTTTCACGGATGAAAGTGCCTGCAGAAGATCTTTTTCAGCCAATAAGAATCCTTCGAAACCAATTTTAGTGGCACTTTTATCGACAAAAGAAGATTCAGAATATAAACCATTGTGCTTTCAGGCTCCCTGCGTCGCGCTAATCTCCAACTCGCAACTGTCCAAGAATATCCATTTATCATTTTAAGCAGTGCATTTATACACGAAGAGAATTTTCTCTTGAAATTTACCCTGAAAATTTTGAAGAACTTTATGAGAGTTTTTTGAAAGTTTACTACTAGTAAAATGTATAGTAAAATTTCAAAAAGCTCTCACAAAATTCTCTGAAGTTTCGTGTTGTCCCACGATTACAATGTTTTCAGGATAAATTGGAAAAGGAAATTCCCTCCGTGTACTTTCCCATACGGCAAATGTATCTGAGACTTGAATCAGCTATCCGAGTGATATCTGACAATGAGTAGTCCTTACGCAATCAGATATCTCCGAGATGTGTCTATGATACATTCTGCTGCGTGGGTTGTACCGATCAAGTGCAATTAAAGTCGCCGGTGTAAAACACGAGCACGTTTCTGTCCGTAGATTTCAGTGAGCACGGTGAGCACCCGGAGATTCAGCCGTGCCGGGACACCAAGCTCGATCCTGTCGTCTGACAGCGACATTCGCTTCACGAGGAAGCTCGGCGGGCAGTATCGCTGCGGATGCTGCGTCCTCGCCGCCTTCTTGTTCTTCCTCCTCTTCTCGGGTGTCTCCATATACCTCGGCTGTAAGTATACGCCGCTGTAGAAACTGCGCAAACATGAAAGTCCGCGAGAGGATCGGGCGGAGGATGCATAATTTTCCATAAACGATTTCTGAAGAAAACGCTCCTCGACCTCCACGCTTTTCATGCAATGATTCCATAGTACACGATAGATTCTGCTGTTAACTTTAATCTTTGAAATGTTTGCTCTTTCTTTTAACGATTCAGTAACGTTCATGTCTACGCAGTAAAATAAATTTTGTAACGTGAACAAATTTATGTTGTAAACGAGCCTCTTTTTAATATAAATCCATAACAATTCCCGGATCGAAATTTTGGTACTATTTTGACACTTTTAAGGATAATTTGCACCTACTTAGCTGATCTATACACCTACTTAGACCAGCAATAACCTACTTTGATGACATTATATTTTTTACCCCCCCCCCCTTGAATCTTTAATTCTCGAAATTTACTTTAGCTCCTACTTAAAAGAACCTACTTTAATGCTTAATTGGCAAAAGTAGAAATTTCCAACACTATCAGTTTTAAAGTAGGAGTACATTTTGTACTCGCAGTTCGACCTCTTTTATTGTCTTAGGTCCTACTGTATAATAGAATTAAAGGTTCAACGTACACTGAAAAAAATTTCTGGTTGAATATGGACGAATCAGATAATTCCTTTAGGATTTACCAGAATTCCTTTAGGATTTACCAGAATTTCTGTAGGATTACAGGAATTCTGGTAAATCCTAAAGGAATTATCTGATTCGTCCATATTCAACTAGAAATTTTTTTCAGTGTAGGGCCAAATTTTCGACTCGAAAAGTGTTTTTTTTTCTAGTTTTTCGTGGTCTTCTAAACGACCTTTAATTTACAGTTATACATTTATCTATCATTAGATTGCGATACGAAGATGTTTCGAAATTAATGTAAGCCATTGAAGACTGAAGCCAGTTTTCACGAGAATGCTCATTCCGACATATCTGTCTTATTAATCTCTTTTGAGGAAAAGTCAAACACTTGAAATGCATCAGCCTCCTATTTTCGCGATTGAAGTTACTGTACTATAGAGAGATCGTTGCTCGAGAGCGATGCTCCTCTTCGTAGAAAGTAAGCGCCCTGTCGAACGATTTAATTGGCGGCACATTAGCGATGATAGACCGCGCATTATTCGAAACCTGACGCGTGTACAGTCGCCATTTGCGCCTGCGTTGCAACGATCCCGCCGCGAATGTTATTTTAAGCGAGCGCGTTATCCGCGGGGGCATTTCACTGAACCGAGACACATTTTCGTCACGCAAGCCGCTACGGCCGCTTTCACTCGCCGTAGTTGCGTACACGCGCCGAGGGTACCGCGACGAGCAAATGCAATTACTCCACGGTTAACCGGCAATCGGCGGCCCGGCGGGCGTGAAATTATCCCGCCGCGCGGTAACGCATCGCGATCGCGAATCGCAAAACGACGGATGCGTTTCACGGTGCATGAACGTTTCGCGAACGCGCGATCGCCGGCTAGTCGACGCGTTCGTCCGAATGAATGGCGTTTCCTCGTAGGCGCGTGCACTTCACCTTGGTGTATCACGCTCGGCGCGCACGCCGTGCTTACGCGCGCGTTACACGACGAGTCGGCGAGGGAGGAAAGTAACTGTATCTCGCGTTACAATGCGTTAGAGCGAGGGAGAGACGGAGAAAGGCGGGGTTTGTCACTCGAAAGATTATTATTTTGAAAAAAAAAATAGAGTGCGCAACGACAATTGCCGGGGTTTCTTTAAAATCTTGCCAATTTCGCGAGAAGAAGCTGCATAAAGCGACGAACTTACTGGAAAA